AAGATCTCTTTCTTGAGTGGTAACAGCTAATTTAGACCCCATCATTTTATATGTATAGTTGCACATTGGAAAACATAATCCCATTACTTTGCATTTATCAGCACTGAATTTCATCTGCTATTTTGTTGCCCAGTCACCCAGTTTTGAGAGATCCTTTTGTAGTTCTTCGCAGTCTGCCTGGGACTTAACTATCTTGAGTACTTTTATATCATCTGCAAATTTTGCCACCTCACTATTTACCCCTTTCTCCAGATCATTTATGAATATGTTAAATAGGACTGGGCCCAGTACAGACCCTGGGGAACACCACTGTTTACCTCTCTCTATTCTGAAAACTGACCATTTATTCCTACCCTTTGTTTCCTATCTTTTAACCAATTACCAGTCCATGAGAGGACCTTCCCTTTTATCCCATGACTGCTTACTTTGCTTAAGACCCTTTGGTGAGGGACCTTGTCAAAGGCTTTCTGAAAATCTAAATGCACTATATCCACTGGATCCCCCTTGTCCACATGCTTATTGACCCACTCAAAGAATTCTAGTAGATTGGCGAGGCATGATTTCCCTTTGAAAAACCATGTTGACTATTCCCCAACAAATTATGTTCATCTATGTGTCTGACAATTTTGTTCTTTACTATAGTTTCAACCAGTTTGCCCGGTACTGCAGTCAGGCTTATTGACCTGTAATTGCCAGGATCACCTCTGGAGCCCTTTTTAAAAATTTGCGTCACATTAGCTATCCTCCAGTCATTTGGTACAGAAGCTGATTTAAATGATAGGTTACAAACGACAGTTAGTAGTTCTGCAATTTCACATTTGAGTTCCTTCAGAACTCCTGGGTGAATCCCATCTGGTCCTGGTGACTTATTATTGTTTAGTAAAAATTAGGATCTAGTGGATAGAACAATGGGCTGGGGTTCATGAGACCCAACTTCAGTTGCCAGCTACTCCTGAATAGCTCCCTGTGTGGACATTCTTATTCCAGAATCCACTTCGGAAGTGGATTAAGAAAAATCCAGAACAAGTGTCCACACATGGTGTTATTCAGGAATAGCGATTCTGCTTTGAAGACACATCCTGCCTTTTTCTGGAATAGCTGTCGACAAGCCCTCTGCATCAGGCTTTCTGTGTGGCCCTGGGCAAATCACTTAATGTGCCTGTAAGAATTCTTTTCTGTCCGCAGGGGAGTTGGGAGGATCAAATCCACCATGATTGTAGGATGCTCAGATATGATGGTGAAGGCCATAGATGTGTCAGGAGTCGAATTTAAGCACACGCTTAAGTGCTTTGCTGAATCGGGTCTTAATGCAGGGACTTCTTGAACTCCAGCTAACATAATGTGTGACTGTTCAGTGGTAAGGCGCAGAGATGTGCCACAAAGATTTGGGAACTTTTGAACAGGGAATCCACCAGTACCTAGAAACCACTGGCATTTTGCTATGTACTTTGAGAGCATTTTAATGATCTAGTGGTTCGGGCACTGGGCAGGGAGTCAGGACACCTGCATTCAGGAGCCCTTGAACAAGTCCCTGCCCCGCTCTCTGCCTCAGTTTCCCCATCTGCACAGTGTGGATAACAGTACATATTTCGCTTTAGAGGTGCTGTGTGTGCCTCTGTAACTCGGGCTGAGCTCAGTTTTGCTCTTAAACCTTTTTGTTTTTGTGCTTAATCCTGAAGAATACAGCATATCCTCCCCCAAATGAAAAGCTAAGTATAATTATTGCACAACGAGGTTCTGTTATCGCTGAGGAGTTCCCCTCTTTTGGTACTTTAACCCTAATATGTTTTCTTTGCTCTTAGCTGTAAGTGTGCCGCTCCTGACAATCCCAGCAATCAAACCCTACAGTTCTGGAGCGACAAGAAGATTGTCCCTTCTGCGATGGAGTGGGCGAACCTCACTGTCAGTGTAAGTGCATGGGCCCCTGTGCTCTTAGCTGTGGTATATTACAGATCTTGGGTGACCAGATGTCCAGATTTTATAGGGGCAATCCTGATATTTGGGGCTTTGCCTTCTATAGGTGCCTATTACCCCTCACCCTCTGTCTGGATTTTTCACACTTGCAGTGTGGTCACCCTATATAGATCAAAATGGAGCGGAAGGGCATCATGGTCCAAATAACCATCATGTCACACTCCTGCTAATGTTAGCTCTGCCTTTTCATGCTGCTAATTGTTACCTAAGGCCCCTAAGTTATCCCAGGCCTCCAACTGTCCTAGAACTACTGTAATAGAAATAATGCAGTTCAGATTCTTGAGAGTCTAAAATTAGGGCTGGCTGGAAAACAGGAATTCTGTTTTGCAAAAAATGTCAAAGTTTCAGCATTTGTTTTCACCGCAATGTGCAATGAAACTGAAACCTTTCACCGTTTCCTGTGAATACGAGAGAGAGAGAGTGTCTAAGGCCTGCCCCGAATAGCTTGGTGATTAGAGCACTCACCTGGCCTATGGGGAGCCCTGTTCTATCTGATATGGAGGAGAGACTTGAACCTGGGTCTCCAGGGGAGGGTCATAACAGCTGGAATATATTGTCAGAATCTCTCCTGTTGGGGCTGCTGCACTTTGTATAAATAAATATGCATCCGAAGAAGTGGGCTGTAGTCCACGAAAGCTTATGCTCTAATAAATTTGTTAGTCTCTAAGGTGCCACAAGTACTCCTGTTCTTCTTTTTGTATAAATAAAACATTCCACCAGCAAATAACGAGGCAGAGGGAGACTGACTCTAGCCTGGTAGTTAGGATGCTTACCTAGCATGTGGGAGGCACAAGTTCAAGTCCTTGCTCTGTCTATCACTCAGCTGAGTGCCCTAGTCTATTGGCTATTCAGAGGTCACTCCCCAGACATCCCATCCAGGTTCTGTGAAAATGTTGCCAAAACTCACCTCTTCCTACCAAAAATTACAGTTTTGACGAGTTGGCATTTTCTGATGGAAAAACACTTTGTCAAAAATTTCCTTACCAGCTCTAGTTTAAATGCTTGGGACCAGCATTCTCTTGGCCCAGGGAGGTGCAAAGACCTAAGTAGTAAATGCAGCCTGCCTATGCCCCTGGTTTAGGAAAGCATCTCTGTTCAGGAAAGCAATCCTGTGCTCGTCTCTAAGTCCACACTTATGTCTCGTTGAAGTCAATGGGACATAAGCGCATGCTTAAAGTTAAGAATGTGTACAACTGTTTTCCTGATTTGGGGCCTAATTTCTCCAAGCCCAGGACTCTGATTCAGTAATGTGCTTAAGCATGTGCCTAACTTTAAGCATGTGAGTTGGGGAACTGCTTAAAGCTAGGTGTGTGCTTAAGTCCTTTAAAGGAATCGGGGACCCTGTGTGGAACATAAAGAGGTCTTTTCCCAAAATCTCCCGATCACTTCCTGTGGGTTTTTCCATGAGAACTTACCTCTCTTTCCACCATTATCATTGAGTTAACCCTCCTTTCCATCCCTCTCTCACCTTCCCTGAACTCTTCCTTTTTCTGTGCGGTCTCTCGAGATGAAAGCAGCACTCACAGTTTAAGCGGCGGATGTGCTGTTGATTTACAGTTCAGCGTTACGTTGGGTTTTGTTCTCTATTCGTAAGAATGGCCATGCTGGGTGAGAGCAGTGGACCCTCTAGCCCTTTATCCCGGCTTCCGACAGTGGCCAATGCCAGGTGCCCCAGAGGGAATGACCAGAACAGGCAATCATCAAGTGAGCCATATTTATTGTCCAGTCCCAGATTCTGGCAGTCAAAGGCTAGGGATTGCATCCCTGACTAGCTTGGCTAATAGCCATTGATGGACCTATCCTTCATGAATTTATCTAATTATCTAATTCTGTTTTTAGCCCCGTTATACTTTTGGCCTTCACAACATCCCCTGGCAGCGAGTTGCACAGGTTGACTGTGCATTGTGTAAAGCAATACTTCCTTTTGTTTGTTTTAAACCTGCCGCCTATTCCCTCCTTAATGCACCCTAACTCACCTGTGAGGTCCACACCCCTCCTTACAGGGCAGCATGGCCTAGTGGCCAGAGTCCATAGGATCAACCCTTGTCGCAGGGCAGCACGGCCTAATGGCCAAAGTCCACGTAAGCGCCCCTGGTTGCAGGGCAGCACGGCCTAGTGGCCAGAGTCCACGTAAGCGCCCCGGGTTGCAGGGCCGTAGGACCTTACTACCGGCTCAGCGAGGGGGTCCTACCGAAACACGCTGAGGCTTA